AGGGAAAGAGCTCCACAACCATGGAGATTTCAATATGCTGCTCAGTAACGGACAGAATGAGCACACAGAAAATCGGTAAGGATAGAGAAGCGCTGCACCCAAACAAAGCAGAAAGCCCATTATTTTCAGAAGCACCGTTACATTCACCAGAAGAGACCGTATGCCGGCCCATAAAACGAGTTTGGGTGTGTTTAAAAGGACTGAAATCGTACAACATTCGCATTCCTCCTGGCCGCAAAGCCTCTCCTCTCCGGGTGCAAGTGGAGAGAACTGGGAAGGTGACAGGCAGCGACTGTTTGCAAGTATTCGGAGCTGCGCTAAACCAGCGAGAGATTGTGAGAGCATGAGATTGTGGAGGAGGAATAACGCACAGGACTCGACTCCTTGCCGTGACCGTGCGGAACAGGAGGTCTTATCGTTCAGCATTCGTCCCCCGGTTTCTGGCGTGGGTAACTGGACAGATGGTGAGCCATTTCCCAATAAAAAAAAATAGAAGACAGGCCCCCTCCATTCTTCTCTTCCTGCAACAAAAATGATTGCCCTACCACCCTTCCTTTTCAAGTCCCGCCCTTTTACATTGCCGCCCCGAAGAGTAATCGGAAGACCAAATACTGCCGGAAAGTGCGACGCCACATTCCAAGGAGCGGAAGTAGATTTTCCCGGAAAGCCGTAAAGCGCACCCCTCTTCCGGTTAACAACAGTTGTACCGACCGTCCACGCCGGCAGTTCTCCGGTAAGCGCCTCCGCTGTTCTCTCTGTAATTCAGTTTCCCTTCGATTTCGGGCGCTTCCTTGTCGTCGCCCTCTTCACCTTGGATCATGTTCAAGAAATTTGATGAAAAAGAAAATGTGTCCAACTGCATCCAGTTGAAAACTTCCGTTATTAAGGGTATTAAGAACCAGTTGATAGAGCAATTTCCTGGTATCGATCCGTGGCTGAATCAAATCATGCCTAAGAAGGATCCGGTCAAAATAGTGCGATGCCACGAACACATAGAAATCCTTACTGTAAACGGGGAGTTACTATTTTTTAGACAAAGAGAAGGGCCTTTTTATCCAACGCTAAGGCTGCTTCACAAATACCCTTTCATCCTGCCCCGCCAGCAAGTTGATAAAGGAGCCATCAAGTTTGTGCTCAGTGGAGCCAATATCATGTGTCCGGGCCTGACCTCTCCCGGAGCTAAGCTCTACCCCGCCGGGGTGGACACGGTGGTCGCAATCATGGCAGAAGGAAAACAGCACGCCCTGTGTGTGGGAGTCATGAAGATGTCTGCAGAGGAAATCGAGAAAGTCAACAAAGGAATCGGGATCGAAAATATCCATTATTTAAATGACGGGCTGTGGCACATGAAGACGTATAAATGAGCCTCAGAAGAAATGCACCTGGGCTAAACATGGACCTCGTGCAGTATCTGTTTGTGTGTGATGGCATGAAGACGGCACCTCTGTGGATAGCAATTCAACAGACGCTAAAAACCGGAAATAGACGAAGTAAAGCTTTGGAACGAATCCATATGTCTGTGCGTGTGTCATTGTATGTGTGTGTGTCTGTGTGAGTGTGTATGCCTATGGATATGTGAGGGGGTGTGTGTGTGTTTGTGTGTTTACAGAGGAGTGATTAGATTTGCTGTCTTGTCTGTTTAAGCAGATATCAGTTCAAATAGATAAATTGTCTCTTAGAAAAATAGATTTCAAAGTCAAGAGCGTGCAGTTGCTAGATGTACCCAAGTTGGGAGAAGAAAATGACGAGAGAGACCCTAAACAACTCTATTCATATGACCGTTTAAGGGATGAGTACTAGAAACAGAAAATCCGGTTAAAAGTACACAGCGGTCATTACTGGTTGTCCACCCAACAGAGTAGCCCCCTCCCTCCTTGGTGGCATAGCTCTGTCCATCCCTTTTCTACACGAGTCTGGAAAATGCTGATTAGTCAAGGCCTATCACGGCGGTCTATTTCCCTATGAGATGGATTTATTTGTAGGTGGGCGTGGGGCCTAAGGCCAAGGAGGATCTTATGTTTTGGACCCCAATGGAAAGTGAGGGTCCTTCCTCCCATGGTTTTGAGTCATTTATAGGTGGGACCACTAAAAGAAAGATGCATGGGGAGAAACTCTCCCTATTTTGGATGGACATTGGCATATGATTTTGCTCTTGCCAAACACACACACACACACACACACACACACACACACACACACCCTTGATTGGCATAAAGTCTGAACACGGTAAAGTTGAAAATAGAAAAGAGTGCCCTTGGTGATCTATGAACCAATGATTAATCAACTATGCAGATTCCATATATTGGGACCTCTTAAGGGGTGTGACTAAGTTATGTGAACTAATAAAATTTTCTTATAGATTACTTCATTTGTACTTGAGTTTTCTGAAATTTAAAGCTAAAGAGAGCTCAGTTTTTATAGAGTGGCATCATAGACACCCAACTGAAAAATAAACAGGGATAAAATAGGTCAGCTGAAAGTTCATCAGTGATTTTCACGTGAGCAGTTTCAGTGAAATTCATATGAAAGCAAGATAAATTGCAGTAGATCTGGGGGTTAATGGGGAGTGAGAAGGTTAAGGTGTGGGAGTTTACACTTCATGATATTATTTACAGAAATTTGGGAATTAAAAGGTGGGTGAAAGGAAGGTCATAGTCAAGATAGTCTGTTTTGGAGTTTATATTATTTTGCTGTTGTTATTTTAATTGTTTTTGTTTTTTTCTTTCTTGTGGCATGTTTGTTAGTAGGGTATCTGAGTATATTTATATGCTGAGGGGAAAGATTCACTAAGAGAGGGATACTTGATGGGGATTTAATCAGTGGAACAGGAAAGCAGAAAGGAATGGCTCCAAAAGCAGGGGTAGAGGATGGCCTTCTGTCCTCAGAAATCTGCACAAATGAAACACATTTTCTGTTTCTAGTACTCATCCCTTAAATGGTCATATGAATAGAGTTGTTTAGGGTCTCCCTCTAGTCATTTTTTTCTCCCAACTTGGGTCCATCTAGTAACTGTACAAAAGATAATGGCACTGATTAATCTGCACCACAGGGTTGTCATGTAATAGCTCTTAAATACTCCTCTTCAAAACACTGTTTTTTCCTTAAAGGCTTAGGGCTTTTGCCCCTATTCTCCACCCAAATCAGCACCATTAAGTCTGGTCAGTGGTGGATACCTGTGGAGGGTCTCTGAACATCTCATGATAATCTGGAGCACCCAGGCCTCTGACGAGCACTGATGGAGACAATCAAGTAAGCAACCTTTCAGTTCTTTTACCATATTGTAACTATCTCCACCAAAAATTGAACAAGGACCCTCTGGATCCACTCTAAGCCTTCTTTCAGGTCTCTTCTATTCCTTCTCTTATTCCATCCTGGTTCACTGGGTCCTATTGGGTGGTGGTGTAATCCTACTGAACAACTCAGAATGGACAGCCTGTATACAAACTGGGAAGTGGATGGAGATAAAGAGTTCTATGAACTTCCTGGAATTTCACACAAAACCTGGTGTGTATGTGCATAGATAACTGTACTTGGTAAAGCATTCTCTACACTGATCATGTGTTTAAGGTGACCTGTGAGCCACAAGGGTATTATGAACAATTAGAGTAGAAGAGGATCCCCATCTACTTCTTCTTGGCTAATGCCAGTGCATAGTTCAATGATAGGATGCTGGATAATGAAACATAAATTACAGTCATATCTTACCTCAAGAATCTACCCACTCCAGTGCTGTATAACCCAGAATAGTTCAACAAACATTGTTGGGTACTAACTGTAGGGCAGACACTGGGCTAGGAGTAAGGGACAGAAAGAGAAATATACTATTACCTTAACTTTTAGGAGCTTGGTCTTGTTAGGAAGGCAAACTTAGATAATATCACTTTCGTATATTCGTGTATGATATAACCTATGGTAAATATCTGAATTATCTATTACAACATAGCATGAATGAATGAGGGAAAGCTGTCTCTCCCTAGAGAATCAAAGAGGGTTTCTGAAGGACAGGTTGTGTGAGTAGGGGCATAAAAGATGATTAAGAATATTGGGAATTCCCTGGTGGTCCAGTGGTTGGGACTCTGCTTTCACTGCTGAGGGCCAGGGTTCAGTCCCTGGTCAGGGAATTAAGATCCCACAAGCCAAGTGGTGTGGCCAAAAAAAAAAAAACCTTCATAATGAATATGGTGAAAAATTACAGTAAAAGATACAGGGCAAGCAATGCAGTAGATTCACAGAAATACAAGCAGTTTGGCTTTTGTAGGCCATGATTTTCCTGGAAAAGGTGAGAGGAGATGAAGCTGGAGGCCTATAGTAGAGACCCATTTTTAATATGCTAAAGAATTTATATACTTAAGGGACTTCCCTGGTGGTCCAGAGATAAAGAATCCACCTTCCAATGCAGGGGACACGGGTTCGATCCCTGATCAGGGAACTAAGATCCCACATGTTGCAGGGCAACTAAGCCCGCATGCCACAACTGCTGAGCTGACACACCTCCGTGAGAGAGCCCACATGCTGCAAACTACAGAGCCCACGTGCTCTGGAGCCCACACGCCGCAACTAGAGAGGAAAAAAACCCCAAAAAACCTGCACACCACAACTAGAGAGAAGCCCGCGTGCTGCAACAAAAGATCCTGCATGCTGCAACTAAGACCCAGTGCAGCCAAATAAATAAATAAATATTAAAAAATTTATATACTTGACAATTTAAATCAGTCTTTAAAAGGCTGCTAAAAAAGAATGAGACATGAACAATATATTTTGGATAGATGATAATGGTGAGGATGGGTTCTAGTGGGGATAAGACTAGAGAAAGTAACTAATACTGCAGCATTGTAGGTATTTCAGGCAAAAGATAATGGCACTGATTAAAAGGATTTGAACTATTCTAAAAATGTTTGTGGAGGAAATTTTCCTAAGACATTAAGGGAACCACCAGCTCACTTAAGAAGAAATGGATAACTACAATAGTACTATATCTATTAAAGTACATAATTAAATTTGTAGTTAAAATTCTACAAACAAGGAAAACTCCAGACCCAGAGAGTTTCACTAGTGAAATCTACCAAACATTTCAGGAAGAAATAATTTAAAAATTTATAGAATTTCTTCTACAGTAAAGAGGTTTGGGGGATACTTTCCAACTCATTTTATGAGGCCAGCAGTATTGAAAAATCCAAACCAAAGACATGGCAAACCCCCCACAAAACTCTAGACCAATATCCATCTGAATATAAACACAAATACTGTTTAAAAAATGAGCAAACTGAGCCCAGCAATATGTAAAAATGGCAAAACAGATTTATTCTGGAAATGGAATCTTGGTTTAATATTTAGAAATCAATGTAATATGCCATATTAATAGATTAAAGAAGGAAAAGCATAAGGTATTCCTAGTAGATGCAGAAAAAAACATTTGACATAGTTCATTATTCATTCATTCACTGAAAGAAATCTTCCTCAACCTGATAAAATAGGTCTATAAAATACCTATAGCTCACATATATTTATTGGTGAAAGACTGAATGCTCTCTTCTTAAAATCAGGAACAGGACAGAAATGTCCCCTATAACTCCTTCTGTCGGTCGTTTTACGTAGTGATTCAGTAAAGGAAGACCAAAGAAATACAAGGCATACAGCCTGCAAATAAAAAGCAAAACTGTCTCTACTTACAGACAACTTAGTTGTCCAAGTAGAAAATCCAAAGGAATGTACAAAATAAGCCATTAGAACAGATACATGAGGTTAGCAAATCAATATTTAAAAATCAGTTGCATGTCTACATGCCAGCAATGAACAATTGTTGAATTTTAAAAATAGACCATTTTCAGTAGCACAAAAAAACTTGAAATCCTTAATCAAACAGTACGTGCATGATCTGTATGCCAAAACCACAAAACACTTACGAATGAAACACTGATTAAAGGGCACTTTCATAAACACAGAGGTTTGATCTGTTCAGGAACAGGAAAGTGATAATGTCAATTCTCCCCAAATTAATATAGAGATTTAATACAGTTTGAGTCAAAATCACACAGGCTTTTCATAAGAATTGGCAAACTATTTCTAAATTTTTGTTGTTGTTAAATTTATTTATTTATTTATTTATTTCTGGCTGTGTTGGGCCTTCTTTGCTGCACGTGGGCTTTCTCTAGTTGAGGTGAGCGGGGGCTACTCTTTACTTGTGGTGCGCAGGCTTCTCATTGCGGTGGCTTCTCTTGTTGCAGAGCACGGGCTCTAGGCGTGCAGGCTTCAGTAGTTGTGGCACACGGCCTCAGTAGTTGTGACTTGCAGGCTCCAGAGCTCAGGCTCAGTAGTTGTGGCGCACAGGCTTAGTTGCTCTGTGGCATGTGGGATATTTCCGGAC